TGTCAGATATCATCTATACTTGTCCCATCTATGCCTCGTCCACACTGTGCCTCGACCCCACTGTGCTACCGTTTTTTTTAGAAATGATTTACATAGCAACATGTTACCAAAAAATTTGGAATATTATATTCTAGTAGTAGTACACACAAATACAAAAAAATTTATTAAATTACCAAAAAAAAAAAATAATTAAAAAAACACATCATAGTAAAATTAATACCTTCCCAGCTTCGCGTCGAAGCTAAAAAAAAAGAATCGAATTATAGCTTTTCTTCTTGATGGAAATGGTTACCATATTCAAAAATTTTCTATTTTTGTGTTAAAATTTTGTGTTTTTGAATATTATAATATCATAGAAATTTAGTTTGCTATTGAAAACAAATAATGCATTACTATTAGCGTATTATAAAAGATATGCCTATTATTATTTTTAGTAAGGCATTAAAACATTACTTGATTTCTTTGTTTCTTTTAGAATAATGGGACAGATAAACTTATTAGAAATAAACAAAGTCTTAATCGAAAGAAAAGATAATATTTTATAGAGTGTTCAATAAATAATGAAAATGGGTTTATATTGTTCTCATTGTTTATAATAATTGAACTGTTTCCTTACTTACTGAACATTCTGTATATATATATAATATATTATGCAAAAAGTAAATAATCTACAAAATATATAGGGGATTTAAATGTTTGATTTTTTATTTCTACATCCTTATTATCATCACTAAGTTCTTCATCGCAATCATTTTCTTCATTTGAGTTTTGATTGCAATAGCTTACATCATCATTGGTATCATCACCATGAAAATAAAGTGAACGATAAATATCTCTATAATACCCTAGTTGTTCTAGAAAAAAATAATTTTAATTAGAATTAACGTTTACACTTTATTATAATTTATGTTTATTATAAGAATTTATTATATTAAAAGGTTTTTCTGATTAAAATAGTTTTATTAATGCTATAATATTACAGCATTAATAATTTTACGATTTATATTACAAATTAAAAAAGATAACTAGTGAATTTATTAATTAACCAATTAAGTTTTTATTCACATTTATATCTTTCCTAAATTACTAATATTTCGAATTTTAGAGATGTTATACTCGTGTAAGTCTATTTTAGATTCCGTTTCTTTAAAAGCCTATAGTCATATTTCTATACAAACTCTTAATAGTTGTATTTTATAAACATATTGTCTAAATCTTTCCATTGTTTAATGTTAAGGAATGAAAAAAAATTGGTTTAGTGCGCCAGTAAACTTACCAAATGGAATAATGTGTTTGATAATAGTTTTAAATGTATTCCAATCTATATGTGCTCTAGGAATGTATCTATTTACAATCTCAAAATAATGCCGATATGTTTTCAATGATTTAATGTATAATACAATTTTATCTAAATGATCATCTATTAATTTATAAGCTTTTTTAACATCAACTTCATTTACTATAACTGGTTTATCAAACTGACCACTGAAATAATTATGCTTCGTCCACCTATATAAAACTTGTACAATTTTTTTTGATTCATTAGTTGCAACTAAATTATTTTTTTCTTTGTAAATTGATATTATAAAGTTTATCTTATCATAAAAACTGTCTAAACATTTTTTAAGTTGATCTTTAAATAAATTCAAATCCAAAAAATATTTAAAATTTTCAATGATATCTTCACCTAAATTAATAATTTTAATTTTAATGTCATTTATATAGTTGGGGTCGCGAAATTTTTTAATTGGTAGGTAGTTATGTACTAAATAAAAATAATATCGTATAATCAATATAACAGGAAGAACTGTTGCTGCATTTATTAAATTATGATATACCTGCATGTTTTTCGGGTTAAAATCATACTTGATAAACCGGAAAATATCTAACAACTTTATATTATAATTCTTGCTAATATTACCATTAATTTTACTATATCTCATCATGTCTAATACATCTTTCAGATTTTTTTTTTCATCATACATGGCTTTTTGTTTTGCCTGAGAACCTGACGATAATTCTAGCTCGCAAAAATTAGATCGAGTTTCCATTAAATCATAAAATAAGAAATTTTTAGGATTAAAATAATTATATGATTCCCTTTGAAAAGACAATGCTAAATGTTTCACAATATCAGTGTAACTGTTTAATATATCATCAAATTTAACAACGTACCATAATAAATATTCTTTTATAACAATAAATAATCGGTTTTTTAGGTTTCCCAAGATATTAAGCAACTCATCTGGCATGTAACTAAACGGTAGATTAAAATCAGTATATGATATGAAATCATTTTCAAGCGATACATCTGAACATTGGTTACTAACAAAGTATTGCAATCGTTCAACAATTGATTGATGAATTATTTTATAGCCTTCAAGTAAATTCTTAGAGCTTTCAGATCTACTGAATTGGCCATTTTCATTTTTAGCGATCATGTTTAAAGATCCCGAAACATTGTTTAAGTATAAATTTATAGCTATTAAATCTTCTGCACAGTAGTTCACATCTAATTCCCGCAACGCATCTAACATGATCATTATGATTTCATCGTGAGATTTGATTGCTAATCCATATTTTCTTAGTTCAAGTTCAGAAATCGTATTTTCAAATTGATATAAATATTTTTCACCATACTTAAAATAATTAAACATATATTTTGAAAAATTACAGTGCAATTCTATTAATTCCATTGCTACTATAACATTTGCATGCGTTAAAAAAACTATGAAAAGACTTATTATGATATTCATTATGACACTAGCAAGTTCAACATAATTTTTTTTATCGAATAGCTGTTCTTATATATGTAATCTAAATTAAACATACAGAGTAAACATACAGAGTAATAAGTTTTTATTTGATTATATTTTTATTACTGTTTAAATGGATAACTAGAGTCTTTTTTAATAAACTCATATTTTTGTAAAACAGAAGTAAATAAAAAAAAACGCTTCCATGCAAATCTGTAGATAGTTTAATTTAAAAAAAAATTTTTTTCAAAAATGTAGGTCAAATGAGAGCTGAGAAAATAAATGATAACTACAAAAAAAAAAAAAAAAAAAATAGTAAAATAATATTAATATGAATTTCTTCTCACAAGAGGAGACTACAGTAATGGGATCCATGATATTTATTGAATCTAAATGAGATAAAAATCAAATGAGTTAAACATTTTTTTTTAACTCAAAAAGAATTAAAAAAAAATTCAGTGCTACAGTCGTGAAAGACCCAAGTGTTAGTGTCTCAAAAACCGCACGTCTCATTCGTCACTTAATAAAAATGGAAATTTAGCTAGTTCAAATTTTAAAGTTATTTTTCTCGACTTCAAAGGAACAAAAAAATTTAAGTATGATTAATTTTTTATACTATGTCATTTAGATTGATATAATATTTATGAAAATCAGTGTAATCTCCTTATAATAAAATAAAATACAAAACCAAGGATTTTAACACAATAATAGCATATTTTTGAATACGGTATCCATTTGCGCATAGAAGATAGATCCGTTGGGACAAATTTTTTTTTCATTTTATAGTACATAAAATAAGCTTTAATTTTATATATGTTTAAAGGACTCAGTTTTTTCGGAACTCTTTCAAAAGTTAAGTTGAAAAAGTTCTATTTTTTATACAATGTTTCAAGTTTTGAACGCCTCCTATATATGGGAAAATTGTACAATTTTAATAAAAAGTATGTCAAATGAAATATGTACTTATAATGTATTTAGAAAAAAAAAATTTGTGCTGATCATTACATTTTTCGAAAAGTTATAGCATTTTTAAGTTGAAAATTTAAAATCGAAAATTTTAACACAAAAATAGCGTTTTTTTAACTACGGCAGCCGATAACATGCAGAAGATAAAGTGTCGGGACAAATTTTTTTCATTTTATAGTACATAAAATAAGCTTTAATTTGATATATGTTTAAAGGACGCAGTATTTCCGGAACATTTTCAAAAATTAAGTTGAAAAAGTTAGTTTTTGTAAAAAAGTTGCTATTTTAAATCCCCCCTGTGAGCAGAATAAGTGTTAGATTTTCAAAAAAAAATGATATCAAATGAAAGAAAATTACCTAAGGTTTCAATATAAAGAAATATTATTTTGATTAGTTAATATTTGAAAAAGTTATGGCAGTTTTAAGTACAAAAAACATCGTTATAAAAGGTGATTTTTATCGCAAATATTACATTTTTTTTATAATTTCGACAGCCATTTGCACATAGAAGATAAGGTGTCGGGACAAATTTTTTTTTTTCATTTTATAGTACATAAAAAAAGCTTTAATTTGATATATGTTTAAAGGACGCAGTATTTCCGGAACATTTTCAAAAATTAAGTTGAAAAAGTTAGTTTTTTTAAAAAAGTTGCTATTTTAAATCCCCCCCAATAAGCAAGTTAAGTGTTAGATTTTCAAAAAAATGATAGCAAATGAAAGGAAAATATCTAAAGTTTTAATAATATTTTTCACCATACTTAAAATAATTAAACATATATTTTGAAAAATTACAGTGCAATTCTATTAAATCAATTGTTACTATAACATTTGCATGCGTTAAAAAAACTATGAAAAGACTTATTATGATATTCATTATGACACTAGCAAGTTCAACATAATTTTTTTTATCGAATAGCTGTTCTTACATATGTATCTAAATTTAAAATACAGAATAAACAATTTTATGTAATACCTAAATAATCTACTTATTTAAAGTATATTTAATTTTTTTCAACTAAAAATGCCATAAGAAATGACTAAAAAATTTTTTATATATAAAAAATTTTAAAAATTAAAAAATTAAAAAACGTATACGTTATAATAATGTTCTGTTTATTTTTTATTCTATATTACTTAATGTTTCTCAAATATATTTTAAACACAATATAAATAATGAAATATTAAATAATAATTTATAAGATATACAAAGATCTAGAAATAATGATTAATAAAGGGCTATCATAAACTTATAGATGCCAAAATACGAAGTCCACAAAACCTCCTCCTAGTTACACGAATTATTTGAAGTCGCAAGACACTTTTGTGAGAGTGTGTTTTAAAATTTAAATAACTTCCAAAAAAACTATGCCGAGTGGCATAGGTGGCAACATTTATCACCAACAATTTACCTCGTTTCGAGTAATCATTGTTTTCATTATTTATAAGTATTATTTTAAAAATCAGAACATGTAAAACAATTTTATCAGCTCACTTTATTCTGTTAATTTAATGTAATAACTAGTACGACGAGAAGTCAACAAAAAATTTAAATATTTGGACTACTCGCCACCTGAGAGAGGAGCGTACGTTGTGTCATATTCCCTCACTTAGTAAAATTTAATTAATCCCTTATGGCTTAAAAAGTTTTCGATTTTATTTTTTTTGAAATAAAAATATACATTTTTAACTAATTTATAAAATAAAAATGATTTGATTAAGAAAATAACAGATCGATTATAAATATTTATGGTGTACATAATTATTTTTAATAATGATTATTAAAGCGAAATTAATTATACAACTAAAATGTTGTTGTCAAATGAATTGAACGAGGAATGACTTAATTATAAGAACTCATTACGGCAGATTGAAAAAATTTAAATTCCATAATATCACGAGATGTAAACCCGACTAACTCTATGGATTAAAAATTTGGTATGAAGTCCCTGATTGGTTGTGCTATAATGAGAAAAATTAGCCATTGAATATAGTAGATGCACTTGGTACGCTCAGCGAAGTACCCGAACAAAGGAATGTAGTAATAATAATTTATACTACATTAAATTTAGGATATTTTGAGTTAATAAATCGTTATTCTTCATAAATGAAATTATGTCGCATGACTTGTTATTGCTTTCGGTGGTCAAATAAAATAATTCGCAAAACAATTTTTCCTTCTGCCACTATTGTTATATGGAAAATTCGAGAAGTTCAAAGTTTTCTAATTAAGTTGGAGCAGAAAAATAATTTTTTTTTCTTTAAAAAATTATTTTTCAAAAGAAATGAAAATATTAACAAGTAAAAAACTTTTACGGTACAACAAATTAATGCGATTACTACCATAGCTGGATGAAAATAATGTATTAAGAGTCGGCGGGTTAAACAATTATCTTATCTTAATGAAGGACAACGTATTCCTAATGTACTACTTCCCAGTCGTTTCTCATCCGTTTAATATTTCGGTACGAACTTCAGCGATTACTTCACGTCCACGAGTACTAGTAATTGCACAAAGTTTATATTTTTAAATCTTTACAAATTATCTTAAATTTAAATTTAAATCTTCAAAAAATCGGTTTTTTTTGATAGAATATTTCCAAATTTTGGACAACTCTTTTTAAATATCATGAAATCATTATAGGATAGTTGAAAAAAAAAATTATTTTTTGATGACGATATTACTGTGTATTTATCGCTTAATTATTAATTAGTAATTATCTTAAAAATTGGATGTGATAGCAAAAATCAGAAGCTAAATTCGGAATCAGCGTAGCAATTTGTAGGACACACATTTGTGCGTAATTTCGTTTGGTTTGGTGGCCTGGTAATTGTGCGTCAGTTGTCTTGATCGCCTTTATTCGACTGTTCGAGTTAATATTCTGCTGCGTATCAATGTTCATTTTTCATCATATGTTATAATTTTTTTTCGTACATGTAGTGGTCTCGTCATTTTACGATCCTGTTTGCTTTTCAACAAATATTATACGTGTAGCTATGTTGTCCTGCGTTTCTTACACACCTTTTTCTTCATTACATTGTGATAATTGGTGTCTTGTCATTAATCGTCGTCATCAGCTTTGCCATTAGTTATGCACGAGCGTTCATCCAACATATTGACCATCCTTCTATTCTGCGCCTTAATATGACTGGAACTTCAAACTATCTACAAGGCCAAACTGTTGAGTATTCCTTTGATGTTTGTTTGTAGTTTTTGGTTTAATTTTACATAGTTAATCGTATTATTTGTGTCATTGTTACATCAATGAACAATACAGAATGTCATATAGAATTTATATAAAAATTGTAAACAAGAAAATGGCTGTTATCCCATATAATTACTTTACATACAATAATATACAGAAAAGAACAGATCAAAATGATAACTTTTATAACTTTTGATGCAATTAAAATTTCAAAAAAATATATTTATTTTTAAAAATAAAAAATTTCTTTATTTTTAATATTTCAAAATAGCATTTTTTTTTAGAGTTTATATAGTAAGGTATTATTGTTTGAGTGTCATTCATTTCATTTACATGATTTTGGTATACATGACCGGTTTGCACTACAAAAATATATTAAACCAATATTTTCTAGTTATTTACCAAAAGTAAAATACATTCATACAATTTGGTGACTATAAAGTTCATAAAATTTTTTAACAAAGTCTAAAATGTTTTAAATTAAATTTAATAATTAAACAATTAAAAATATAATATAATTATTTAAAGTTTAATAATTTTTTTTTGTCATTAATGTTTATATGTGCTTATTTTTATAGATGATATAAATAAGCCAAGATTATTTCTAGTCATTGGTCTAAAATTATTTCTTACTATTAATTTTATATAATTAGTACTAATTGTTGTTATTTTAATATTTTTTCCTTATGTTATTGTGTTTTTGAGTGACACAGTCAAGGGCGACGATTTCCATAATTTTCAAAACCAATCCGATAGGCTTGTCGATGTTGTCGTTAGTAGTTTGCTTTATTATTTTTCTCACATAGCCGGCAGTAGCTAGATTTTGTGTTTTTCGAATGTGCAAGAATCTACGGTGTTTGGCGAAAGCTGTTTGATTTTTTTAAACATATAGCCATGATTGGTAGTTCTTTTTCGCTTTTTTGTCAGACAGATGGTAATTGATGATTTTAAGACTATAATCGTGTCAGTATTGGTAAAATATTCTGATTTAGTAAGAATTTTGAAAGTATAAGATCCGATCGGATTAGGTATTTGAGGACGCCATTGAGTCTTCTTACAAAGATCATTTCCGACCGATCGGTGGTCAACATGGTATTTTTATTCATATCGTAATCTTCATCTGATAATAATATTAAACATACGACGGTAAAGTCTGAATACTGAAAACTCATGCGTTCTTTAGTTTTTAAACATGATAAAATTTCACTTGCACTCTAAATACAAAAGTCGCTGGGAATGATTTATTTAATCTACATTTATTAATTGGTAGCATCCTCATAAATTAAAAAATTACCGATTAAAACGATAAAATTTTGCTAAGTGAGGGGACGTGACACACTGTACGCGCCCTCATTCAAGTAGGAAGTGGTTCAAATATTTAAATTTTTTGTTGATTTTTGTTATAAATAATGAAAACACTGTATTATTAGACTCTGGCAAATTGCTAGCGATAAATTTTGCCATCTATCCGATATAGTTTTTTTGAAAGTAGATTAAATTTTAAAACATACATTCACGAGAGCATCTTACGACTCCAGATCATTGGTCAAACTAGGCGGAGGTTTTATGAACTTCATAATTTTAACCTCCATAAATTTAAAAGTAACCCTTTATTCTTCATTATTTCTAGATCTTTGTACATTTTATAAATTATTATTTAATATTTCATTATTTATATTGAGTTTAAAATATATTTGAGACACTTTAAGTAACATAAAATAAAAAATAAATAGACATTGTTTATTTTACCGGCCAAGGTGGACAGGGATGAGACAAACCGATTGGAGAAGTTATTACTATATGACCGAAATGTACATATCCTAAGAGTTTGGCATCGACGACCAAAGGAAATCCGTTGGTCGTTATCCTCCAATTCAGAGACGATGAAATGCGCATCGTAACCTCAAAGGTTGTGCAAGAAGCACGGTATAAAGTTGTTCAAATCCATACGATAGAGAACGGTGGTCTGTGACTTTGAAGTTGGAATCCATGAATGCCAAGTGTCGCATACCACTTTCTCGACATTTCACTTACACATATTGTAGGCGGACATTAAGATGGGAACGCTAGTTTAACGTTTAAAATTTTTTTAGTCATTATTTATGGCTTTTAGAGTTGAATATTTTTAGTTTATATCAAAATAACAAAATTTAAAAATTCTGAATAAAATAATCATTCTTCTTTATCTCTGGTGTTTAAGTAGAATACAAGCTAATTGAAAATGTCTCTACTATTCCGCTAAGCTAGATTAAAAAATATAATATTAAATAAAAGTTTATTTAAAAAAATGAAATATACTATAAATAAATAGATTATTTAGGTATTACATATAATTGTTTATTCTGTATTTTAAATTTAGATTATATATATAAGAACAGCTATTCGATAAAAAAAATTATGTTGAACTTGCTAGTGTCATAATGAATATCATAATAAGTCTTTTCATAGTTTTTTTAACGCATGCAAATGTTATAGTAGCAATGGAATTAATAGAATTGCACTGTAATTTTTCAAAATATATGTTTAATTATTTTAAGTATGGTGAAAAATATTTATATCAATTTGAAAATACGATTTCTGAACTTGAACTAAGAAAATATGGATTAGCAATCAAATCTCACGATGAAATCATAATGATCATGTTAGATGCGTTGCGGGAATTAGATGTGAACTACTGGGCAGAAGATTTAATAGCTATAAATTTATACTTAAACAATGTTTCGGGATCTTTAAATATGATCGCTAAAAATGAAAATGGCCAATTCAGTAGATCTGAAAGCTCTAAGAATTTACTTGAAGGCTATAAAATAATTCATCAATCAATTGTTGAACGATTGCAATACTTTGTTAATAACCAATGTTCAGATGTATCGCTTGAAAATGATTTCATATCATATACTGATTTTAATCTACCGTGTAATTACATGCCAGATGTGTTGCTTAATATCTTGGGAAACCTAAAAAACCGATTATTTATTGTTATGAAAGAATATTTATTATGGTACGTTGTTAAATATGATGATATATTAAACAGTTACACTGATATTGTGAAACATTTAGCATTGTCTTTTCAAAGGAAATCATATAATTATTTTAATCCTAAAAATTTCTTATTTTATGATTTAATGGAAACTCGATCTAATTTTTGCGAGCTAGAATTATCGTCAGGTTCTCAGGCAAAACAAAAAGCCATGTATGATGAAAAAAAAAATCTGAAAGATGTATTAGACATGATGAGATATAGTAAAATTAAAAAAAGAAGTAGTAAGAATTATAATATAAAATTGTTTGATATTTTCCGGTTTATCAAGTTTGATTTTGACCCGAAAAACATGCAAGTATATCATGAATTAATAAATGCAGCAACAGTTCGTCCTATTATAATGATTATACGATATTATTTTGATTTAGTTAAATACTACATATCAATAAAAAAATTTCGTGATCCAAACATCGAATATAACATGAAACTGAAAATTATTAAATTGGGCGAAGATATTATTGATACTTTTAAATCTTTTTTGGATTTGAATTTATTTAGAGATTTATTTAGAAAATGTTTAGACGGTTTTTATGATAAGATATTCTATATAATATCAATGTACAAAGAAAAAAATAATTTATTTTTAACTAAAGACATTAGAACATTAACATGTATTTTGTACAAATGTATACAAGGTAGATTTTTAAATTGTTACTTAAATAAAAAAAAAAGAAACAATGACGATCACGAATATAATGTAAAGAAAGATTATAAATTATTAGTTGATCGTATACATGAAATTTCCTTGTACATTATAACATTGAAAACATATCAGTATTGTTTTCAGACTGTATATAGATACATTCCTAAGGGACACATAGATTGGCACACATTTAAAATTACTTTCAAGCATAACATTCCATTTAGTAAGTTTACAGGCATAAAACCAGGTTTTTTTTTTTTGTAAAATGAAAGCATAGAAAGAGAAATATTGTAGCGTTAAATTTTTTTTTTTAAACGTAGTAAAATTGATAACGACCAACTGTAATTTAAATAAAGTTAAAAATCTTAATTATTTATTTTATTATTTTTTTTTGATGATGATAATGTTATTACTTAAAAAATACTAAAATATTGTTTTTTGCGTTACTTTTATCTAACATAATCGCTATAAATGTGAAAAAAATATTAATTCATTGCTATAACGGCTATTTTTTCTTTATTTAGAGCTCTTAAACATTGTTTAATTTTATAAATAAAAATAAATTTTTATTAAAACTATTTTAATCTTAAAGCAATTTTTAATAAATTAAAGTCTTATAAAAACTTATTTAAAAAAATTGCGTAGTTATTTGTTCAGCTGACATAATACAAAATTAAAAAAAGTAAATAATATTAATACCTTTTTTTGTCAAGAATGGTCTTTTATATTTTTTTATTAGAAGTATATTATCATAAATGTGTAATTTATTTTGTTATTTATACCACATTAGATGTCATAGTATCACTGACAGTGATTTACTGTATTTAAAACTAAGTTAAAAATCTTAATTATTTTTTTTATTATTATTTTTTTGATGATAAATTTAACGATCCTAAAAGCTTTTTTTTTCATGTTTATGATATAAAATCATAATCATGATATAGCGATTATGTCAGCTAAAAATGACGCCATAAATAATATTTTAGAATTTTTTAAATCCTCATAATACTTTCTATGTGCAGTGGCATAATAATTTTTTATGCGAATAAATATGCAGTAATGTAATGATTTTGAGACGATTCGTCTTTTTTTAATTGATGTAATTTGTATGTGTGACTTTGTTTTAAAATTACAATAATTATTAGATGTTAGTGGGGACGCCCAACATAAGACTGGAATTATATATTATAATTGGATTGTATATAATAATTTTCATTATATTACTGTGTAACAACTACACCTCGTTTTCATTATTTAGTTAATTGGGCTAACCACTTGATTGGAGATAAGTTTTTAATTTTTTGTTTTTATTTTTAATGTATATAGTAACAATTCTTGATATAAACATAAACATAAATTGTAATAAAGTATAAACGTTAATTCTAATTAAAATCTTTTTTCTAGAACAATTAGGATATTATGAAGATATTTATCGTTCACTTTATTTTCATGGTGATAATACCAATGATGATGTAAGCTATTGCAATCAAAGCTCAAGTGAAGAAAATGATTGCGATGAAGAACTTAGTGATGATAATAAGGATGTAGAAATAAAAAATCAAACATTTAAATCCCCTATATATTTTGTAGATTATTTACTTTTTGCATAATATATTATATATGTACAGAATATTCAGTAAGTAAAGAAACAGTTCAATTGTTTTAAACAATGAGAACAATATTTCCTTATTTACTGAACACTATGTATCTTTTCTTCTATAAGGAATTTTGTTTCTTTCTAATAAGTTTATCTGTCCAATTATTCTAAAAGACACAAAGAAATCAGGTAAGGTTTTAAAGTCTTATAAACAAAAATAGTAGGCATACAATTTTTAAAAATTTAAAAATCCTATATAAAAAATCAAGTAATAAAAACAGAAATCAAGTCAGTAAATGGTTTTCTTACCTTAGTTCAATGTAAGACCGATTNTCAATTTGTACAAATATACTTTAGTAAGTAGTTTTTCTCCACTTAAAACAATTATATATCTAGTGTAATAATTTTTATAAATCTATAAGGTACTTAGTAATAAAGTAAAGAACACCGACTTCAGAATAACATAAAAGCATAATTGTATATTACGTTTATAACAGATTAATAATACATGAATATCGCGGGTAATTTGCACGGAGACGATAGAAGGTCAACTAACTCGCATTACCATCCATACGGATGACAAAACGGTCGATCACCAGTATAGCAACGATAAGCTGACCCTTCTACTATATAAACTGTATATGTCACTAGTGACTTGTTATTATAAGGAATACTAATATATTAAGGTAATCTAGCTGTCTCCTATATAAAAAATCAAGTAATAAAAACAGAAATCAAGTCAGTAAATGGTTTTCTTACCTTAGTTCAATGTAAGACCGATTGAGGTCCTTTTCCGGGGAGCCTGTTAACGCGTGACCATGTCAAGAATGAAGGTAATTGAACACAATATAGCCAATGCCCTATGTATAAACTCGATATAACGTGTTTATTGTCAATTTAGTATCCGAGGACTATTGCACAATACGTACAGGAAATTAATAAAAAACTAAAAGAAAAACAGTTACATTGATGAAGCAATAGTCGATGATCGTGATGGTTGATGTTAATGTTATCAACTGTTCAGTCGTTGTTATGAGTCGATGCATACAGCAAAATATTGGTATATAGTGTGAGGTGTGACGAAGATGACTTCAACGTATGTTTGCGGCGGGCCATTGTCGGACTTAAGGCACTTGCTGGATTTTATACCATGGCGTATGGCACGCAGTGTTAGTCAGTTAAACTATCATATATACGTATTATGGTGACGACTGTAAAATGTGGCACTGGTCGCGGGGTTTTCGTGTAACGCAAAGTGATACAGAACCATGTGAAGCAGTTTTAAAATATAGAAAAAAAAAAATAGAAATTGTTATTTTTCACTGTAGTTTAATTTTCAAAAATGTATTCAGTCAAATAATAGCTCAAATAATTATAATCATGTATAAATGTTGATTTTAGTGTTTTTTTTTTTGGTTAATTACTTTATTAAGACAGTAAAAAGTATTTTGGTAATAATATGATTTATTTTGAAAAAGAAACAAATACAATTTTTACATTTAAAAAATATCTAATATTTATTATACATTTAAGAAACATGTTTCACTATAAATTTCCAATAAATTTATAAATGTTTTCTCTTTTTTTCAATAACCATGCTAAAATTAAATGAATATAGTTAATTCAAGTAGTAAATATATTTAAAAAAATTTGATATGCACCTTCATAATAAACATTGTTCATGTCAGACAAAGATTCTAATAAAATTTTCACGACATTTTTATTAGAGATTATTTGTTGAATGGCATTATCAAAATCACTTTTAGAGATACATCCGGTTTTCTCTGAATCTATTTCTTCAAATTTGTCATTGAGTTCTTTAAACTTTTGAAGAAAATTACTTGGAATTGGGCAATATTGGCCATTTTTAATTTGTGAAAAAATTCTCAGGTTTATACTTTCGTGTTCTACAAAATATAAAAATATAATTATTTTTGGCTTATTATCATTATTCAAAGATGTAATTATTTTCGAATTTTTTTAAATTGAAAAGTAACATTATAAGGGAATAACCACCTTAAAATTTTAAAACAATTATATTTGAAATAGAAGTTGAGTTACAATAAGCAGTATAGACATATGTGCGGGCAGTCTTTTAGGTTTGGGATAACAAAGACTTACATAGCCCCACATTTCTATCTTAATGATGCGCTTTAAAAATCTGTATGGTACAGAACTCCCCTAGAAGGATCTAGTTGACCAGTTGTTACAAAGATCATTGATTATATTATTTCGTGGGACAGCTGATCACCAGCATCTTGCTTTAATCACCCCCTCGCCCACCTATCACGGCAAATCGATGACCTCCGTGTCGGTTTTCATCCGTGTACAGTTCATTGTCGTAAGTCAGTCAGTCAATTTGTTTTATGTGTCATTCTTTTCTGTAACAAGTGTCTTCGCTTGAATGGTAAATTGTTCGGCCATTGTACGCCGTTATTCTTTTATTTGTTTAATGCACCCTTGTGCTCAAAGCTTACGTGCCCTTGCACACCACTAGTGATTGGACCCTGACCATCACTAAATATCTTCATTGCCGTAGTCGCCTTTTCGCGGTCTGTTCTCATCTGTCATTACGTACCTGGATTCACACTCTGATTCGTCATACTCAGATGTTCGACACTATCACCACAAGATCTCATACAGTCCACTTATCATCATCAACAGTTTCATCTATTCAACTGAGTTTATATTATTTTTTAATGTTATTTATTGTTTGTTTTAATTGAGATTAACTATTTTGTTTTATGCCGCTTCACCGGCCATTAGTATTTAAGGGCCCCCCGTTACCCCTTAAATTTAAAATACTCTCTGAGGAATTTCTAATATATGTGATTATTTGTTATTTAATTATTGTCTACTCTCGTTTACTTATTGGATGTATAGTTAGCCGTCATCTCTTTGGTGACCCATTCCCGCATCAATAATAATGAATTTAAGAAGGTGCTTAAGAGGTCATATGTTCCAGCTTTGAAACTATTGGCATAATCTGACAATATGAATGTTAAAAAAATAATGACAATTAATTATAAACACAACTTATCATAAATAATTTTATTTATACCTATTAGTGATTAAGTTTTTTTTTACCAAAAAGTTACCTGGTATTACTACGTGAGTTTATGGCACGTGTTTTATAAAATTCAATTTTAAAAAGAAAATAATAGATTATAAATTTATAATAGAGCAGTATGGTTGGGTCTTAATTTGCTTAGCTTTTATTTAAACTCACTCTATTTAAACTTTGTGACGCATTGTGTACTCTTATAATGTATAATTATTGCAATAACTAGTGCACATTATAGAGTAGAAAACTAAAAAAAATTAAAAACCCAGCACAGGGGGGTCGCGGCACAGTGATGACGTGGCATAGTTGAATCAAGTATAATGATATCTGACAGTGATTAAAATCACTATCAAAAAAAACGCTTCGATGCAAATCTTTAGTTAGTGTTTAATTTTAAAAAATTGGTGGATTATTCCAAAAGCTTTATAAACTGCTAGTTCCTTATTAATATCCTGATTAAGATAAAGTACGTCGAATGAAAAAGGGATTATTAAAAAATAGTATTTCCCATAAAAAAATTATATTGATCAATACACTTTTCAATAAGTTATAGCATTATAAAGTTAAAAATGTAAAAAATAAAATTGAGAATATTCACATAATAATAGCATTTGGTAGCCATTTTCACCGTGAAGACAAAATAAAGTCCAAAATTTTTTTTTTGCATAATAAAGTAAATTACATTAGCTTTAATTTAATATATATATAAAAGTGTCAGACCTTCCGGAACACTTTCAAAAGTTACGTTGAAAAAGTTCTACTTTCTATATGCATTTTTATGTTTTGAATCCCCCCTGTATTTAGGGAAATGGTCCGATTTAAAAAAACAGTATGTCGAATGAAAGATCTATATAAATACTACTTCTCATAAAAAAATTGTAATGATTCATACATTTTTCAAAAAGTTATAGCATAATAAAGTTAAAAATGGAAAATACAAAATCGAAAATTTTCACACAAAAATAGCATTCGGTAGCCATTTTCACCATGAAGATAAGATAAAGTCCGAAATTTTTTTTTTTCATGATAAAGCATATTACATTAGCTTTAATTTAAGATATATATAAAAGTGTCAGACCTTCCGGAACATTTTCAAAATTTAAGTTAAAAAAATTAATTTTTTGTGAAAAAGTTGTCATTTTAAATCCCCCCTTGTGGGCAGGTTAAGGGTTAAATTTATGAAAAAAATATACCAAATGAAAGGTAATGATATTATGCATCTATATAAAAAAGGATTATATTGATATGTTCATTTTTGAAAAAGTTATGGCACTTTTAAGTAAAAAAAATTTTAAAAATTTCGAAGATTAGCGATTTTTAAATATGTAATATTTTTGGAGGTTTCCCCCATTTACGGGGAACGAGGGAATTTTTTTCAATTTTTAAGGGTAATGTCTTCGACTAGATACGATTTGTGATCTTTTGACGTATCATTGAAAGAAATCGGTTCGGTGAGAGCTGAGAAAAAGTGGTAACAGACACAAAAAAAAACACATCTTAGTAAAACCAATACCTTCTCAGCTTCGCATCGAAGCTAAAAATCAAGTAATAAAAACAGAAATCAAGTCAGTAAATGGTTTTCTTACCTTAGTTCAATGTAAGACCGATTGAGGTCCTTTTCCGGGGAGCCTGTTAACGCGTGACCATGTCAAGAATGAAGGTAATTGAACACAATATAGCCAATGCCCTATGTATAAACTCGATATAACGTGTTTATTGTCAATTTAGTATCCGAGGACTATTGCACAATACGTACAGGAAATTAATAAAAAACTAAAAGAAAAACAGTTACATNTGAATACAGGAAATTAATAAAAAAACTAAAAGAAAAACAGTTACATTGATGAAGCAATAGTCGATGATCGTGATCGTTGATGATAATGTTATCAACTGTTCAGTCGTTGTTATGAGTCGATACATACAGCAAAATATTTTTCTTAATTATATTATTATATATTCTATAAGCCAATTAACTATATAAAATTCTAATTGAAAATACAAAGTACTCTTAAAACGTAGTGTGTCATGTACATTAGAAATATTTCATGATCGATAAATTAAGAAAAACATGTACCTAATAGAAACCATTTTAAATATTTAAACATTACATCATGTATTTTTGTTTTTATATATTAGTTGAATGACTACTAAATGGAATACAACATTTTTCTAACTTGCAAGCCATCTGTTTAGATTAATTTCGTGCATTCATAACATCGATAAAATTATCATTATCCATGACTTAATATACAAAACCAAACATAGTATATGTATACAAGATGTGTTATGTATAAACATTAAATATTATAAACTTAAAAAAAATGAGAAACTATCACAATACTATTCCATAGATGAAGTGTATTACATGATTTTTAAAGTAAGATATATTTAAAGGAGTCGGACTTTCTGTAACAATTTCAAAAGTTAGTTTGAATAGTTTTTATTCACATGTTTTTAATTTTGAACCCACGTTTAAGGGAGAGGAGTCAGATTATAAAAAAGATATATCAAATAAAAAGATCAAACTTTAGGTTCTCATAAAAAACACATCTTAGTAAAATTAATACCTTCTCAGCTTCGTATTAAAGTTAAAAAACATAACAAGTGCTGATAAACCAGCTTACTACAAAAATGTTATTGCAAAATAACAATGTCCTTCTCTCTCCTTCGAACAGAATAAAATATTACAGTTGGTAGAGCCCTAAAAGTTCTGGGTTTCATAAAGCGCAACACTAGCCTTTTCACGTCCCCTACCTGTCTTTGCTCCCCATATTTCTCTCTTGTCCGCTCTATTTTGGAGTATGAAATAGTTGTATGGAACCCATATTTGACTAGGGACCAATTACGCTTAGAACGAGTTCAAAACCGCTTCTTATCCTACGCTGCTTATTTGTTCAATATTGATCATCCGCTCCATGACTATTCGTCCATTAAATCTTCTTTAAATATTCTTACCCTTGCTTCTCGCCGATTAGACGCTGACCTTTCATTTATTACTTCTCTCCATAGTGGCGCAGTTGATACCCCTGACATTCTTTCTTCAATCTCTTTCCGAGTACCCACGCATTTCACCAGAAAACATACACTTTACCTTATCCCTTCTCATCATACTAACTATTCCAGAAACATCCTTTACATAGAATGCTTGATCTTCTTGATAAATCATAGTTTCATAGTTGTTTTAAATTATGCATACATGTACTGTTTATTTTTAGTTTTTTAGTTTTAATGTTATTTTATTGTACAAATACGTAGATTTCTATAACTGTAAATAATATTGCTGAAGTTGTCATGTAATGCCATAATTAATTTTTAGTTTTTATTGTTTTATTGTATCACTTTAAATTGCCGTTTGGCGTTAGCTTAATAAATAAATAATAATAAAATAATAATATTTAGATATACATCCTTACTATGGAATTTTTCCAATTTTTCAATAATTTGTTGTATTTCAATATTATCGTTATAATCTGTTTTTTTCAAATTGTTATTACAAGTTTCAATATCAATAACACCCGAATAATTATCTTTTGGTAAGCAATAATTAAATATCTCTTCTATTCTTTTGGATTCCTTAACTTCCTTAAAAGTGATTTTAAAAAACAAAGTAAATTTTTTTTTAAGTAATCAGAAAATAAATCATCTTGTGGTATTTGTATAAATATGTATTTTTCAATCTTTCATTTTTTTTTTTAATTGATCAAATATTTATCAATTAAAAAATGAGAAGTCTATAAATTTATTATACTTATTTTATGTATAAAATTTTAAATCAGAAATTAGAATAAAAAAATAATCAGGGTGATTTTTTTATCATAACCTACTCCATTACTTACATAGTAATAATAATTTAAACATTTTTTTTTGGTTATCTTTAGTTACACATTATTCTTGAATTATTAACTATGTAATACTTTTTAAGTTCATCCCATATGCCTGGTAAGGGTGTCAACTTTGTTTTTTTAAATGGAAACACATATTTTGAATTTAATAAAATGTTTGAGTTTTTAATTTAATAGTAAATGACATTTGAATTTTTAGTATAACTTTATTTGTTTATTAGATATAAAATTTTAAAGTTTCAAATTTTTAAGTTAATATACATGTATAATACACAAGGGATTACAAATACAGGTAGCTAATTGGTTTTTTATGACATCAATATTAGCAGGTACACAGCATTTTTATTATCAATGGTAGTAAGGCACATTGTTGTGAGTTTATAAATACATTAACTGACAATACAGAAAGTATATCTATTGATAGACATAATTCATTATAAACAATCCGTGACTGTGACAGCAATATTATAAAAATCCAATTAGCTACCTGTATTTATAATCCCTTGTGTATTATACATTGTGTATATTAACTCAAAAATTTGAAACTTTAAGTGTTTATATCTAATAAACTAATAAAGTTATACTAAAAATTCAAATGTCATTTACTATTGAATTAAAAATCCAAACATTTTTTTAAATTCAAAATATGAGTTCCCTTTTAAAAAAACAAAGTTGCCTGCCTCACAAGGCATAAGGGATGAACATAAAAAGTTTTAAATAGTTAATAATTCAAGAATAATGTGTAACTAATGAAAACCAAAAAAAAAATATATTTAAATTATATTTATTCTGCAAGTAATTGAGTGCGTTATGATAAAAAAATCACTCTGCATACAATTTTTTTATGAAGTAGATATTTTATATATTTATTTTATTATAAAAAAAAAAATAGTCTAAAAATAAATTTATGTTTACATTCTTATAATACTCTACTATAATTTTATTATTTGTTTTAAATTATAAATTTTTTTTTTTAAATTATTACATTTTAAAATAACCATTTTTTTGCAATTTTTACAAAAAAATTTAAAGAGTCAATAATAATTAAAATAAGTTTATTAAAATAACTATTGAGTTACAAGAATTTGTATACATAGTTTGAGTATGCAGGGGGTGTAGTATATATTAAAAGTTTGCATCAATACTAGCTATTATGAATTATTACATAATTCATAATAGTAATTATAAATTATAATTGATATTAACCATCTTCTACATTCTCAATCAATTTGAGAATGTAAAACATTAAATGCTTATAACTCATTAATTACTTATCTTAATATAGTTATTCACCTAATAGAAAATGTTGAGGGAAAAACTCAAAAAGTCGGCTGCATAAATTTATTGATGCATTCTCAGAATATTTCATTGTAACTTTTTTTTTAATATTAAATTTATAAAACTAATAATTTAATTAAATTTAATCAATAATTGTATTCTATTTAATTCTAATCGAATAAAAAATATATAATATAACAACAATATTGCTAAGAGTTAAAAAAAAGTATTAAGTGAACAAAAATTTTATTGAATTAAAAAAAAAATTATTTGTTTTATTTTTTTTAAACTAATAAGCTGTTTGATAGTTAGAAAGATGATTAAATCGAATATTAAATTAAATAAAAACAATAATTACCACTTCTTTATTAATTTCGATAGAAAACTTATCTCCAATTGTCAACAATGTTTCAATGACCTAAAAATGTTAATGATAATTTTTTAAGTTTTTTTCCTTATAGAATTTAATTATAAATAATACTAAATTTTGGTAAATAAACCTTTATATTATAAACTTATATATTTAAATTGACTTAAATAAATCAATATCTATTTTTATATTGTTTACAGAGAAGGTATTGATAAAAGAAATTGTAATTGACTAAATAAAGTTACAATAATTTATTAAAAATACATTCGTTTGTTTTAAAAATCAAACTACACCCTTTTGTAAAAAGTTGTTCATAATTGCATGCTGTAAACTATTCAAAAATAATAAAGAAATGAGAGTTGCATATTGAACTTGACTTAAAATTTAAGTAAAAAAAAAAATTGTTACCTTATTTTCATTGTTTGTTTCGTTACTTAATTTTTCATTTTCAGGAATTAACTTGGTTTTTTTATCCTAAAATATAAAATTTTTTATTTTATTATGTTGCTTTAAAAATGTTGGGGGTAACTTTTTAAATTTTTATTGTTAAACAATTTGAACATAAATTATAAACTTTTATTTTAATTAGATCTATATAATATTCATAAAAATCTGTGTACTCCCCTTACAATGTATATTAAAATAAATTAAAATAGAATACCAAAAATATTAACACAAAAATAGCATATTTTTGAATATGGTAGCCATTTTCACTATAAGACGATCTATATCTCGACATTTTTTTTTTATAGTAAAGTATATTTTAAAAGCTTTAATTTAAGATTAAATAAATGTGTCAATTTTTCCGGAACATTTTCAAAAAAAAAAAAATTATTACCTTATTTTCATTGTTTGTTTTGATACTTAATTTCTCATTTTCAGGAATCAATATGTTTTTTTTATCCTGAAACATAAAATTTTTTATTTTATTAAAGTGCCTTAAAAATTTTGGTGGTAACTTTTTTAAGTTTTTTTCATTAAACAATTTAAACATAAATTATAAACTTTTATTTTAATTACCGAATTCATCGAAAAAGAGAATTTAACATTTAAGATGATAAACTTAAAATTAAATAAATATGTCAATATTTCCGGAACATTTTCAAAAAAAAAAATTTTAACTTTTATGCAAAAATGGCTTTTTTTAATCCTCCCTGTGGGCAGGTCAAGAGTCAGATTTTAAAAAATTTATATCAAATGAAAGGGAAGTATCTAAGATTTCAATAGAAAAAAGAATTCTTTTGATTTAATCATTTTTCAAAAAGTTATGGCAGTTTTAAGTATTAAAATATTATATGTTAAACAGTGATTTTTACATAAAAATTACATTTTTTGTTAAATTAGATGTCCATTTTCTACAGAAAAAAAGATGTCTGGACAAAATGTTGTGTTTTTGATCTTATAGTATTTATTGTAAACTTTAATTTAAAATATATTTATTGTTCGGAGTATTTTCGGAACATTTTAAAAAGTAAAAAAATTTTTACTCATTTTTATAAACCTCCATATAAAAAGAAAAATAGTCTAATTAATAGTGTGGTAAATGAAAGAAGTAAACATAAAGTATTTATGAAAATAAAAAAATTGAATTGATCCATACATTTTTCAAAAAGTTATAGTAAATTAAAGTTGAAAAAATAAAATATTAAATCGTAAATTTTAACACCAAAATTGCATGTTTTTGAACTACGGCAACTATTGCACATAGAAAATAAGTCGCCAGGACAATTTTTTTTTTATTTTATAGTACATAACATAAGCTTTATTAAATATATGTTTAAAGCTCGGAATAATTCCAGAACATTTTCAAAACTTAAATTGAAAAAGAAAAATTTTGGTGCAGAAGTTGCCATTTTGAATATACTTTTGTGGGCAGGTAAAGGGTCACATTTTCAAAAAATTAATATAAAATTAAAGGGTAATATCTAATATTTAAAATAAAAAGAATTATTTTAATCTGTTCATTTATCATTAAGTTATGGCAATATTTAGAAAAAAAATAAAAAAAATGTCGAAATTTACCGATTTCAATAATTGTAGTTTTTTGGGGACATTTCACCATTTATGAGGAACGTGGACAACATTTTAAATTTTTAAGGATAACATCTACAACTATATACGATTTTTGATCTTTGACGTATCATTGAGAAAAATCGGTCCAGTGAAAGCTGAGAAAAAGTAGTGACAAACACAAAAAATAAACACATCATAGTAAAATTAATACCTACTGGGCTTCGAAGCTAAAAATGATTACCTTATTTTCATTGATTGTTTCGATACTTAATTTCTCATTTTCAGGAAACAACGCGTTTTTGTTATCCTGAATTGTAATTGACTAAATAAAATTACAATAAATTATTAAAAATACATTCGTTTGTTTTAAAAATCAAACTACACTCTTTTGTAAAAAGTTAAATTTAAGTAAAAAAAAAAAATTATTACCTTATTTTCATTGTTTGTTTCGATACTTAATCTTTCATTTTCAGAAATCATCATGTTTTTTTTATCCTGCAACATAAAATTTTTTATTTTATTATGTTACCTTAAAAATGTTGGTGGTAACTTTTTTAAGTTTTAATGGTTAAACAATTTGAACATAAATTATAAAATTTTATTTTAATTACCGAAATTATCGAAAAAGAGAATTTAACACATAATAATAATGCGACATATATTTGCCAGTACATTTTGGAATATTTCTTTATAGAATACTTAATAGGTTTTGGTAATGAAATTGTACAATTATTTTTTGATATTGAATAGATAAGTTAAAACATAGGTTTAAATAGTAAAAATGTTTTTTTTTTGCTATTTTTATATATTAGTACATATTTAACTAGAAAGTATGTGATGGATATTATAAATCTAATTTTTAAATAATAAACTTTAAAAGCTGTTAATCTAAATATTGTAATCTACAGGATGTAGAATCATTGTTTTATGAAACAATAACTGAAAGTAACTTTTGGCTATAGAAAGCTAATCAAATTTTGGCATTTTTGATGAGGAACATTACTTTAATTTTTTCAAACATTTTTTGTAGTAATAATATTAAACGTCACTACTGTGTATTTATAATTATTAATTATATTTCATTGATGTTATATGTATTTATACATTTTATTCGTTAAATTACATCTGACTAAATTTTAAACTTAAAAATTAACGATTTTTAAAATTGTAATTTTTTGGAGGATTTCCCTCATTTCCGGGAAACATCGGAAATTTTATCAGTATGATAAGTAATAACAAATCAAATATAACTTTAACTAGGTTTTGAAATTGATTTTAATATCGATATTTTTGATAAACTCAATGTCAAAATTAAAAGGCTAATTGAAATTGAAAAAATAAATTAATTGGTATTCAATATCGAAATTAAGTTACAAGAAATAAAGTAGATTTAAACATTTTAATCGAAATCGTTATAGTTAATTAAAATATATTTTAACGATATAAAAAAGTTATTTTTTCATTGTTTCTAAAATAGGTATACGTGTTTATTAGTCATTTTTATGGCTTTTAAAGTTAAATATTATATTTTTAATTTTTTTTATATTAAATTAATATATTTTTAAATTTTTAAATTATAATACTAAGATTAATTTTAAAATTCTGTGTATATTCATTCTTAAGCCTATCGTTAATCAATTTTTAACGATAGGTTATCTAGTGATCAAAAATATAATTATTATTACATTATTTTGGTTGAGGCTTAAAGTGTAGCTAAATAAACTTTTCTCTCGGATTGAAGCACCCTCAATCTTTTTTTTTATCTATTATTCATATTACTTACCTATGTAATATTATAAATCATTTGTATTAATATTTATAATATGACTAATAATACATAATGTAATAAATCTAATAGTATTAAATAAAAAAAAACACTTTTCAACAATTGCTATTAAATCAATTCTAACTTGTATTCATTTTTTTAATATATAACTTTAAAATATAATTATTAACAAGCAAAAAAAAATATTATTTTAGCTAAGTTAAGCATCATAGTTATGAATACTGTTTTTTAAAAATATTCAGTTTAGTCAGGCCATCTTTTTATGGCAATTGTGAATAATATATAAATTTTTAATTATGAGATTAATATGTGCACACATAATTTATTTCATTGAAAATATGGTGTGGGGTGTGATCGCTCTTATTGCTTCCCAGAAATTATGCCCATCCACCGAATTACAAAGGTTTCCCCGTGTATAAAAACGAGCAACAAAGAACATTATCCAATCCTAAATTTCATAAAAGCAGTAATTTTTTAATATTAATAATTCAAACAATGTACAGGTTCTCATTGGCCACACTTAATTAGAAAACAATAATGAATACGAACCGAACACATACAAAGTATACTTAAAAGTATCTGAATAGCACAACTATTCAAACAATTCGCATAGATACAACTAATACTAATAATAACGAATTCACTAAACAACTCTCGTCATTTTTAAGTGACTTAAAATCCCTAATTAATCCTTTAATATCCTTATTAATCGCCTTAGTTAATAAAATAATTTTTAAAAATGTGTAGCATGATAACCTACAAAATCTTACGATCAAAAAATTTCCTTGGAATACGAATGGTCTCCAATAATACAAAAATGAAATTCAAACTGCACTTAATTGTAACAAAATAGATATAGCACTGATAAGTAAAACTTACTTTACTGACAATAATTACTTGACGGTACAGCTCATGCCGGTTCTGCCATTTATGTTTCCAAAAATATACAATACAACGAAATAGCTCCATACTAAGAACCATCTATACAAGCTTCAGTTTCAAAACTACATTCAATCACTCAACGCTAGGGATAAATCATTATGGAGAGTTACAAAAAAATTGACACAAACTAAAAAAATCACCCAATCTCTTCGAAATGTTAACGGTATCCATACTATATCAGATGTAGAGAATGCTACGATTTTTTCTGTACATTTATTGAATTAATTTTGGGTCAAGGGGAAGTTTAGGATAAGGGTGACCGAACCCAAGTAGTTGGGAAGAAGGCTAGAAAAGAGAAGAAGAAGATTTATTGAATACATTTAAACCACATAAAGACATTAAGCCCGACTCTAATCATATTAATATGGATAATGACTTTATTTCATGTCCTTTACCTATGTCTCCTCTTGTTAAACCGTTCAATCCTGGAGAAATCGAAGCAACTATTAAAAATTATCTAAAGGTAAAGCTCTTGGGTATAATCTTATCATTAAAAAAAGTATTGACGAATCTATCAAAAAAAGGTATTTCCTTCTAACATATATTTACAATAATATGACTCGTCTTTCTCACTTTCCGTCAATTTGAAAAATAGCGAGTGATGTCTGGTGCACCTTGGTATGTACAAATAATAACCTACACAAATATTTAGACAACATAACTGTCAAAAACATGCTATTTTATACTATACTAAATTTTACTCAAAATTCAATATAATTACAAACCCTCTAATTAAAAAAATAGGGACCTATTGATATAACGAATAATAGTAAAATTTCGTCATGGTTTAGTAGCTTATATTCAATTTTTCATATTTCTTGCGTATGCACAATTTTTAATCACTAATAGTTTAACTTAACATTATCTAGTTACCCTGGAAAACTAACTGAATTTTTAAGTTATAATCATACTAAACAAAACCCACAAAAATTGAGTATTAGTTGTAAATGTGACCTCTTGTTCCTTACATCACGAAGGTTCTTGATAAAGTAATCAAATATCTTGGGTAAAAAATAAAATTGTTTTTATTGGTACTCAGACTGATTAGTTTAAGTAATATCTAGCAATTTAAAACTAAAGTAATTATTAACTACTCTATTTTTAAAAGTCATTTATTTATAAAAATAGGTATATTTGAATTTCAGTTATACAAATCAATGCTATGTTATGTATTTAATTTATAATTTGATGAATGCTATATAATTAATTTATAAATTTATATTTATGCAAGTTCCTTGTTGAATTTACTATGACTTTATAAGTTTACTTATTGTATTTATCTTATTTCATAAAAATTGAACTATTAATTTTATTAATCGTCCTAAAACAATAATTTGGAAATTATTTTTTTTTATTAGTTGTTTACAGAATAAAAAATATTTTTAATTGTAAGCATAGAAATAAATCAATTTTTTCTTATAGTTTAATTTTCTATACAGCAGTTGTTTATCAAATTTACTCTACATACAGCTCATTAGAAAAATATATGAAAAAATTTGGCCATTTAACCTGTGCCAAAATCTGAATCTTACATTATAATACTGATCACAATTATTCATAATTTGATAATTATGTTCATTATAAATTATCTTCAATAAAATGAAGTTACTAGAAATTTGATATCAACTTAGAAATTTCATGATAGGTGCTCAGATTTTTATAAATAAATTTTTTAATTGATTTTGGTCTATCAGAAATTGTAGTGCGCCTACAATAATAAATATAATGAATTAATTTTTTCCGAATTGACAAATTGTTTGAGAAGTTCAACTAACTTGAATTACTAATAAACTATGAAATCAATACATTCATTGTCTCTCATTGTCAAAAGTAACAAAATTATATTAAAAAATGAGTAATTTTTCTTATAAAAATTTGTAATTCAAATAAAATTTGTTTATATTGTTTCACTCTCATATGTTTAAAATAAGTTTGAATAAAATTTAAAATTATAATAGCGAACGTGGGTTTAGTTGTGTTTGTTGAAATTACTGTGAAAAACAACATTGACGTCATAGAACTTCAAACTCAAGTTATTTATTAATAATAGCTATAAAGTAAATAAAGCAAGACTATTATTAGTTCTAATAAATTAATTAGTACAGAAGAAAGAGGTTGTGTTAATCTATTTGGACAATATTGTACAATAATTTGTTAAAAACGACATATTTCATATTCTCTACAAACTTCTGGCATATAGTTTCCGTAAAAATTTTAATTCCAACAATATTTAGGAATTTTGAATCTTGAAGAACGGTCATTTCCCAACCCAAACTTGATCAATTTTATAACGCAGAACAGTGGGGGATCACAACTTTACAGCGAATAAACATCCGGTTTTTCTATGTCTAATTTTTCAAATTTGTTATTGAGATCTTTAAATATTTATAAGAAAATTCTTGGAATCGGGTGATATTAATCATTTATAATTTGTGTAAAAATTTTCAGATTTATTATTTCGTTTGCTAGAAAAAATAAGTATATATATTATTTTCGACTTATTAAATAAATAGATAAAAAAAGTTTTTCCTATAAACACATATATTATTCTATATTTTTTTTTTTTTTTTTTTTACAACCGTCAGGTTGGTTAATACCATTGTTATATACTGGGGAAATTTAAGTGTAGTGGTTTAACATTGCCTTCTGTACTGGGAACATGATTCTTTTTCGCCACCGTAAAAGTGCACGCAGAGTTTTATCAACAACTAGTGTGACCACAGTGCCACACCATGCCCATTATTCTATTAATAATAGAATTAAATCG